GAGATAATGTAATATCTGAAAGAAGTCTTTCTTTCGCGATATTACATGCCTCTTCAACTGGAACATTAGTGAACAAGCTAACTACGTCAAAACTTACCAGAATATCATTCTTACCCAATCTAATTTGTTCCATTTTTGTTACAAATTCTTTAGAATTTACTACATGATGATCTGTTTTTCCAACAACTGGTTTCAATATCTCAGCGAGATATTTAGCCAGGGCATACGTTGGCGAACCTATGGACGCTACAATAGGTCTTAGTGGGACATTAGGTTTATGTATCTTGGGTAAACCATAAAATTTTGGACAAACAGTAGCTGAAGGTCTCAAACAATTATGAAGTGTTTGAGACAAAATACCTGCCTTTTTAAAACCAGATAGTTTGGAACATATTTTACGTTCAATGTTAGCTGTAGGGTCTCTTTTAAGCTCTTTATAAGTTGAAGTGTTTAAAAGAGCCAGGATTTTATTATCATATTCTAGACGATCTAAAATAACCGTAGCGTTACCCTTATCAGCCTTTAAAATATGTATTGACTTATCTGCTCTTAAGTTTTTCAAAGCATCCTTCTTATTCTTGGTTAAATTCGAAGCTGGAAGCGTTGCACGTCGTAGAACCTCGGTGATTTGGACGCGGATGTTACTAGCTTCATCGTTCGTCATGTGGTATAACTTCGGTTCCAAACGTTGTACGAATTCTTCTTTAGGAAGAACACGGGGTACCACAGCGAAATTTAAACCAAGAGCCAAGACATCTTCTTCAACCGGCGTAAGTCTTCTAGCACTCATATTGATAACGGTGCGTTGTAGTGGATGACTGGCCAAATCTTCTTGTCTGCGATGCGTCCGACCAAAGGACGTCAATTTTGTGAATTTGGCAATCTGAGTGGAACGTGCTTTGTTGAAAGTTTTCGTAGAAGACGCAGAGATCATTCTTTTAGCTGTCGCATAATGTTCTTCATTTAAAGTCATCCACAATTCTTCATTCAAAGATAAAATACGTTCATCCACTCTGCATAGCTGTCTACGAGTCCAAGCAATTCGTTCTCTTACTAGTGCCAACTCGGCTTTCATCAAGATCTTTCGCGCATACTTAGTATGATATTGCGTTGAGATGCGTAATCCTTTAGGAACAACCTTGTTGTCTCGACACCTTTTCAGAAAGGCGAGGTTGTTAATCAATCTTGAACGTTGATTGGTAAGCCGATCAAGTCTTTTAATATAAACGACACTCTTGTATATAAAAGGAGCGTGTGAATTAAACAAGTCACATATTATTAGCACTGATGAAGATCCGGGCTTACGGATCGAAAGCTTTGCAGTAATAAATTTACGTGGTGTTTCCACAAACAAAAACAATTATATTTTATCGCCATGCAAACATTCAAAGAACTTATTACGGTCCTCTATGGAGAGTGTATACATTCAGCGTTTAAAAGACTTGATCGGCTTACCAATCAACGTTCAAGATTGATTAACAACCTCGCCTTTCTGAAAAGGTGTCGAGACAACAAGGTTGTTCCTAAAGGATTACGCATCTCAACGCAATATCATACTAAGTATGCGAGAAAGATCTTGATGAAAGCCGAGTTGGCACTAGTAAGAGAACGAATTGCTTGGACTCGTAGACAGCTATGCAGAGTGGATGAACGTATTTTATCTTTGAATGAAGAATTGTGGATCACTTTAAATGAAGAACATTATGCGACAGCTAAAAGAATGATCTCTGCGTCTTCTACGAAAACTTTCAACAAAGCACGTTCCACTCAGATTGCCAAATTCACAAAATTGACGTCCTTTGGTCGGACGCATCGCAGACAAGAAGATTTGGCCAGTCATCCACTACAACGCACCGTTATCAATATGAGTGATAGAAGACTTACGCCGGTTGAAGAAGATGTCTTGGCTCTTGGATTAAATTTCGCTGTGGTACCCCGTGTTCTTCCTAAAGAAGAATTCGTACAACGTTTGGAACCGAAGTTATACCACATGACGAACGATGAAGCTAGTAACATCCGCGTCCAAATCACCGAGGTTCTACGACGTGCAACGCTTCCAGCTTCGAATTTAACCAAGAATAAGAAGGATGCATTGAAAAACTTAAGAGCAGATAAGTCAATACATATTTTAAAGGCTGATAAGGGTAACGCTACGGTTATTTTAGATCGTCTAGAATATGATAATAAAATCCTGGCTCTTTTAAACACTTCAACTTATAAAGAGCTTAAAAGAGACCCTACAGCTAACATTGAACGTAAAATATGTTCCAAACTATCTGGTTTTAAAAAGGCAGGTATTTTGTCTCAAACACTTCATAATTGTTTGAGACCTTCAGCTACTGTTTGTCCAAAATTTTATGGTTTACCCAAGATACATAAACCTAATGTCCCACTAAGACCTATTGTAGCGTCCATAGGTTCGCCAACGTATGCCCTGGCTAAATATCTCGCTGAGATATTGAAACCAGTTGTTGGAAAAACAGATCATCATGTAGTAAATTCTAAAGAATTTGTAACAAAAATGGAACAAATTAGATTGGGTAAGAATGACATTCTGGTAAGTTTTGACGTAGTTAGCTTGTTCACTAATGTTCCAGTTGAAGAGGCTTGTAATATCGCGAAAGAAAGACTTCTTTCAGATATTACATTATCTCAAAGAACTAATCTTTCTCCTGAGAATGTTCATGATTTGTTGAAACTATGTTTGACCACGACATGTTTTCAATGGCGGGAGAAATTCTATGAACAAACAAACGGCGCTCCAATGGGAAGTCCATTGTCGCCTGTTATGGCTAATTTGTTCATGGAGGAATTTGAAAAGAAGGCCTTAGCTACTGCAAAGTTGAAACCAGGTTTCTGGTTCAGATACGTGGATGATACATTGAGTAGCTGGTCTCATGGACTAGATAATTTACAAAAGTTTCTAGACCACATTAATAGTTTGCATCCATCGATCAAGTTTACTTTTGAAGTACAGAAGGATGATAAAACTATACCGTTCTTAGATGTTCTTTTCACTATACATGATGATGGGTCGCTAGGACATAAGGTTTATAGGAAACCAACACATACAGACAGGTATCTGCATTATAATTCATTTCATCATCCTAGTATTAAAAACTCTGTGTGCAAGACACTCATCAACCGAGCGAAAACAATTTGTGAGGTAAGTAACATTGACGATGAATTAGAACATTTAAGAAATGTTCTAAAAATGAATGGTTACCCACGGCATTTCATAGATAATGCTATGAAAACGCCACAAAGTATACAGCAGAAGATTGAATATCAGTCGTCTGTTTGTCTACCATACATTGGTCCGGCTTCACACAAAATCGAAAGAATTTTGAGGAATGAAGCAGGTATAAAGGTATACCATTCCAGCGAAAACAAATTGTTTCGAGCTCTTTGCACACATAAGGACAACGTAAATGAATCTCAGAAACCTGGTGTGTACCGCATTCCTTGTGAATGTGGTCTGGTTTACATTGGTGAAACTGGTCGAAATCTCTCAGTACGTCTTAAGGAACACAAGACGAATTGCGAGAAAGCCGAGCAAGATAAATCTGCTGTGGCTAAACATACTTGGACTTACGACCATCGTATAAAATGGGACGAAGCAACCATTTTGGCGATTGATAGTCATAAGTTCTCTCGCAAAATGAGAGAGTCAATTGAAATCGAGAAGCACAATACTATAGATCAGGAGGGAAAGCCACTAGATAGTACGTGGCGTGCTCTCTTTAATGTGCAAAATTAATTTCTCTTGTCTTGGATGCGCGCGCGTTAATTGGAATCACTTCATTACGTTTGAAATGACGTGGTTGATGTGCCGTTTAATTAAATTTCAAATGACGCGAGCCAACAGATCACGACACTCTTGTATATAAAAGGAGCGTGTGAATTAAACAAGTCACATATTATTAGCACTGATGAAGATCCGGGCTTACGGATCGAAAGCTTTGCAGTAATAAATTTACGTGGTGTTTCCACAAACAAAAACAATTATATTTTATCGCCATGCAAACATTCAAAGAACTTATTAAACCCACATTTGTTTTACATACATAAATATGTCTGAAACTAATATCTAATATAATTGTAATTTCTTTCATACAACTCTGTATTCATGACCTAGCTTAAAGTAGTAAATAGAAACCCGTGTGTAGTAAATAAAATACGTTTCTCGTGTTTTATTTAAACGGTCAAAGTTATTAATATTCACTTACACAATTTCCATGTTTATCTCCAACAACCTAAAATAAGAATTACACACAACAATTTAGAAAACAAATTACTGATATACGAATTAGTTTATAATTAATTAATATATGAATAATGACATGTCAAGTGCAAGTGGAAAAAAACCCCACCCACAATGGGTTAGGCCTAGTCCGAAGAACGCGTGTGCATGTGCCGGGACGTGCGTGTTTTCCAATTAGCCTTTCTCACGCCCCCATTTTTGGGGTACTGTAATTTTTCGTGTACGATTATAACAATATGAAAAGCAATATTTAAGAACAAACTATTTACAGAGTAAATTTACCATGATCGTACACCCACAAAATTATAAAATGTCGCCGTTACGTGGTGTTATGCTCGCAGGATTGGCAAAAAAAGTATCCCAAAAATGGCGGCGTGAGGAAAGCTAATTAAGTTGCACAAGAATTCAAATTATCTTAGCTACTTCATTTTTCTGTGTCGTGTATTCGCGATGCCAACAGCGTTCAAAATTTAAAATCTTTTGGCGTACCTATATATAGCTTAATTTGTTCTCTAGTTTATACAATTAAATGCATCATGAGATGGTTGAGAAACATAAAATAGTAATAAAAATTTGTCAATTGATTGTCAATGATGCTTTAAAACTGATGCCATATTTAGAGCAATATGAGCAAGACTTACTAGCATCAGACTGCTGCACACCTTCTCTTTATACCATCGAAAATATCTTCATTTTGGCACTACTTCACGATTGAAAAACGTGACATTGATTTCATGCAGTTGAGAAATATTGAAAAAAAACAACTTATATAAGATGATAGTGCAACGAAGCTGGCCTGGAATCCTGTCATACTCAATGTTTCCTCATTTTACAATTTACTCAGATTCTTATTTCTATATATTCATATAATTCCGTAATTCTTATCCTACTAACATACAATAGGCTTACACTATATCATTTAACTGAAACATACGCAGCAAGCAGCTCGTCCCATTTAATCATGCGTAAGTGTAAAATGCTTTCTATTTAATATCAACCTTTCATGCAGTTCATTTTAATTATTACTTCGTTCCATCAAACGAGCAAATTAATGAATTTGTTTAATATGCATGCATTCATTTTGCTATAAATATCCTGCGATGCATCAGGGAATGTATGAAAGCAATAAAATTGTTGTTAGACGAAAATTTTTTAATAAAATAGATCGTTCACGCGGGGAAAGTTGATGAATATTAAAGTGAAATGGCAATAAAAATTAAGTTTCCATTTCAATTAATGAGAAGTTTCTTTAATATGTTGTGAATCAATTGCTATGGGAATGAAAAAAACAAGAACGATCGAGTTTCAGACTCATAACAAAATATAGGATTAAGATGAAAAAATTTTGGACTATTTTTATAAAGAACTTTAAATTCAGACTCAATGAGAAAATTAAACTCAGAACTATAGAAGACTATTTTGGAATAAAAAAAAATGCATTTGTATATCTTAAGGCTCTACATCGTTTCTATAAGAAAGAAAATCATAAATTAAAAACTATATACATAAAGAATATTTTATAATATTTCTTCTACATTTTTTCTAATTGAAAATATTCTGCACGGCTTCTCTGAAACAAGTACTTCGCCAAAAAACAAGGCAGGGATTCAACAGAGAGTTTAGGTACATTAATGTCTCTGCCAATGCCCATAAAATCCCGTACGTATTATAACCCAGGCTCGAAGCGTTTAGAAAATTTTGGAAGATAAAAAAGCACAGGACCAAAAAGTAACAAGCCAGAAGACTTAAAATAATGGCGAAGGCGGTAACTGTTGATCGTAAGATCTTCTTTGGTGCCACATTTTGAATGATTGCAGGAGTTTGAGTGGTTTGAATTGCTTTTCGATGTCGAGCAACGAGTTTATATGTCCAACACCAGGTAAAAACCACAGTAATAATTGCTAAGGCAGTAATACCAAGCCCTCCGTATACAACGAAGTTGTAGTTTTGAAAAATAGCCAGGGTTTTTAGCAAAACGAGAAGCCAAGAAAAGATAAACATGAAATTCAAACGAGACTTTGTAATTATATTTCGCCAACGATACGGATAAGCCAAGGTTATATAACTTTGCACGCTGAGAACAGCAATTGTTACCAGTGATAGTTCCAAGAATAAGAACGATGATATCGTTTGAAGTCCCCATAAAATGCAACTATGGCTCTCCAGCAAACCCCTTAAGGTGGCGACCACAAATATCGGCTGTGCAAAAGCAGTTACGCCAATGTCCGTGATGGCAAGCAGCAAGAAGATCGTGTTCTGTATTGTTCGTAAACGAGGGTTACGATAGTAAGCCATTATGACGAGACCGTTGGCGAACGTTCCAAAGAGAGATATAACGATATTTGCTATCGCCAGAGCAGCTTCTAAAGAAATTGCTTTTATGCCAGTAGGAAAATATAAGACATGAACATTGTAAACGCCTACATCACATAGTGTAAACCGCGTCATACCGGATGTTTTCTTTCTTCAAAATGTACACAGAAGCTAGAGCATAACTGCAGTGACTAACGAAGGGCCGCACTATCATTAGCATGACAGAAGGTGGACGGAGGTGCTGTGAGGTGGATAACTTGTATATTATATATGCATGACATCACTTATTATGAATACAATGACGTCATAGTAGACGCAAAAGAAGACCGGCGAAAGATTAAGTTTAACATTTCTGCAAATTTACTAGTCTGCGAACAGGCTCTCAAGGTGAAATGAGAGCCTGCATCGATGACTAATGAATTTGAATATCTGCGTCTCAAATCGTGACGCGAAATTCTCATTGGTCAGATGCTATAATTTATATGTTTCCGCTGAGCTCTATATATGTCAACTAAGCACTATGCATAAAAAAACACATTAATAACTGATCAAATTGGTCTTGGCCATCTTATCTCAAAGCACAAAATGTTCTGTTTTGAGAAAACAGCATTTAAAACATTTAAAGTTTTGCTTGAATACCTTATATTTCGAAAAACAGTATAAACTGTACGGTCTAAACTTAGTTTGCACGGTCTAAATTTAGTTTGCACGAAAGTTGTAAACAACACCATATAAGGATAGACATTCCATATTTGGAAAAACGAACGTTACGGGGCAGATATTCAAAATTGTATAATATCATCAGTACAGGCTCTCACTTCACTTTGAGAGCCTGTTCGCAGGCTAGCAAATTTACATGTGGATCAAGTGCGCTTTACATCAAATATTACAAACTTACTTAATTATATACTTAGACCAAACTACAGTATTTTTACAGCAATGAATTGCTCACCCTATCAACTTTCCATGTGGGAAGAAACATGAGTACCCGGAGAAAACACACGACTTTCGGCAGAGCGTTGACTGGATAGCCATTCAACCGTAGTCCGTTCGTTGTTGGCATCTTAAATTCCCTATTAATACTACTCAGGACGGCAACGTGACGATAATAATCAAAACAAACTCATTCAAATAAATTACTGTAAAGTAAACTTGTTACGTATTACTTATCCAACGAATTTAGAATGGGATTTTATCACCCTTATGGCTGGAAAACGTTATTCTGTGCCAATTTAGATTTAATTGCCACGCTTCGAAATGTATATAAGCGTTGTATATCAGATGTAAACATGTCTGGTTTGCCGTGGTAAACAGAATGAGGAGGACGTCTAAAACCCTGTGAGCGTTTGACTGTTCATTTCTTTTTGTTAAATATTGTTGTACAATGTAATTGTATTACTAGCCGTCGTCTCTTTTCCTTCGTGTTACTGCATGTGGATTGATATTTGATTTGGGAATCTTGTGAAGATAAAACTGAAATATGAAAATTAGAATAAATATTTACGTACTTGGATTTCAATATGTCTTGGGTTATTTATAAATTTCTCTATCAGCAAACGGTCATCACCAAAACTTGATTTTGCTTCTTGTGATGATAAACGAAATCCATCTCTAAATATATAGTTCAAGAGAAAAATAGGTTGAAAACAGATATGAAAAAGATAAAGTAAAAAGTTTGCAATACACTTTTTATCCTAAACTTGGTTTTGTTGTTATTTAGAGCAATGCTAGATCTTACGACATGAAATTAATATTCAGGAAACCATTTCATCATGATCTTTAGTAAACTCACACTCAATTAATTTTCATGGCTAGACCCTATACTAAGTCCCCGTCTCGAATAGCCCCATCCCCTCTATACAGCCACCTCCCCCCTTCTCAACATAGGAATACACGACTTACGTTAGTTCTTATTCAGATAAATCAATATATTAATTCCCCCACCCCTATAGCTCAGATGCGTCTAAAATAAATACGCATCTGTGGTGCTTAAAGTGACACTGATAGCAAATAAGATTTTGGGTATTTTAATATTGGATAATTTCCCTGTCAAAGTTGCCGGATATGTTTTTAGATGAATTGTAAGTTTGTTTGCTTTAGTTTGTTCTTCGCTTCTAAACTTCATCTAATAACATCATATTCAGTGAGAAGCAAGGCCGGTGGAAATAGTGGTAGGTGAAAAAAATTTAGGGAAGGTGCAGCAGTCTAGTTCACGAACCCCATGGAAAGATAGGGCTTAGAACGGGCCAACGTCAACGACGTAGTGCATAACATATGTATCAGTGTATTAATGAATTATGACTGTACAACTTATCCAAATTTGCCTTTTATTACAATTACTACAAAATTTCTTTTAAAACATTGCATTAAAAGGGTGCTTGACACAGAGATGAATGGCTATCACTGTTTCAATTTTACAGACTCTAAGCAACCAAAAAATGTTAAATTTTCACTTTGATCTATCATTGGAACTTTCCCAAGGGGAGGTGCATCACTTTTCAGGGGAGGTACAAAAATTCTCAGGAGAGGTGCTAAACGATCTCAGGGGAGGTGCCCCCTCCCCTCAAAATCCGGCCTTGGTAAAAAGGTTGATGAAGATGAGGTCCTAAATTCTTCTCAGAATGCCCTAAATACTGTATTACACCTATCACAAACTTGGAGTTTAAGTGGCACTTTAAGAGAGAATTTCCAGTAGCTATATGCCGTACCTGACTTCTTGGTCATTCCAAGCAATTCTCATTCCTTTGCCACCTCCGCCTGCGGAAGCCTTGATCATGACTGGGTAACCTGAAATAAAAATAACATATAACTGACTGGGCGGATAAAATGAGCATATAAAGAGGAGGAAACGGTATGTGTTGAAGTTAAAAATGAAAGTAGGCAAATTTGATTAACCGTGAAATATAAATATATATATAGGCTGTCCCCCCCAAAATATACAATATCTGTTGTGTTCCAACATTTTACATAGCTTATTGTTAGCATGACAAAATTACTGGATGCTGATTGGTTGAGAGGAGTACAATTATTTCATTAATTGTACTGCAGTACAATTAATGATTTTCCCAAAACGAACAAAATAGCGAAAAGGTATTTTAAACACAAACGTGAACTGAAATTGCCCTTGAGGAACTACATGAAAATACGAACAAAAGCACTTACGGAGGAAAGATTTTCTGAAGGAGGAACTGATTGTGATTGAAGGTTAAATGAACAATTAATATATTCACATTTTTGGACAGTGTGGAAATTGTGTAAGCACTATCAGTGTAGGTAGTGATTAATGATATAGTTGCATAGAGTTACTTTTGTTTTGTACAGTAATTATGAGTAGCAAAAAAATCCAAAGAAACTTTACTTGACCTGTTTTATCATTCAACCAATATTGTGAATATTCAACATTTTGATATGGCCAAACTTTTGGCAAACTTTGCGTACCGTAGTATACACAGCTATTTCAAATAATCTCAGTAGTGTAGTGGAGGGGGGCTCAGGGGGCTGAGCCCCCCTGTTAAAATTTCATGTTGACTTGGGGGGGGGGGGGTGAGCCCCCGCCCTATAATTTTTGAATAATCGTAAATGAGAATGTTCTTTAGAATTGCATCTACAAAAAGTGGTAGAGAAACCTTCAATTACATACCCTTTTGAGACGCTTAGAATATTTTATATTACTAATGGCAATTGTTTTTAATAAGCATAATTTTAAATGTTTGTCCCACAATTATTAGGAAAAAACCCCAACAAAATTTAGAATTTCCAAAATACTGTATCATATTGTAAACACCCCCCTGCCAGTTCAGGACACTTTTGGAGAACAGGGACGAAACTATCCTGGTGTGTGTGTGTGGGTTGGGGGGTGACACCCCTTGTCTCTATTCCATTATAGTCGGGAAAATTTTGAAAATATTCGAGTGTCTCAGATTGAAAAGTAATAGTGGTAGGAAAAAGTGGTAGTGAAAAATTCTCCGCTCACCAACTTTTTTGGGAGAAGAAATATTAATTAGCAACTGATCAATTGTTCGTCTCTCAGGAACGACTTCGGAAACGCTCTTTCGGTTGGGCAAAACAAGCTCACCCCCCCCCCCAGCCGTAATACTGAAGTTTCGCCCCCTGTTGGAGAGCCCCCCTTGTTGCATGCATGGGGACGGTTGAGTCAATCCATTTCAGGGACGAATCTGATTGAGTGATTGGCCGTTGATATGGAATGCGCAGTTCAGTCTTAGCCAGGATTCCTGGCTTCCGGCAACGGATTATCCCAGAGCCTCACGTTCCTTCCCGAGGATCGCAAACACGGGCAACGAGATTGTATTTGAGTCAGGCATGAACAGCAAACCCATTTTATACTTCACTGAAGATTAATTCAGATAAGACAAGGGACTCGTTTCAAACAATCAATTATCACAAATAAATATTTACTCAAACATAAGAAATACGAAAATGACATATTCTGACGATTTGCCGAATACAGGAGATGTAAAATATAGCAAATATAGTGTATTTACCTATTTCCTTTGCACGTTTTATAGCCTCTTCATCGTCCTAAATAATAGAATCAATAGTTTTAAACATCTGGTAAATTTAAAATAACTTCAGAACATTTTCTGAGAATGTTAGGCTAAAAAACGCTTGTTCTCAGAAAATTGTTGCCATAGCAACGGCAGTTGCGACTCCCTTTTTTCGAAAAATCCAACTCTGTAGCTATTATTTTTCTATTCGAACTTTCTTTGTCTTTTAAACATATAGGAATTGTTGAAAAATTGGGTCTAAATTTAAACAATTTAATCATTCATGATACCGAATTCATTATGCTTTTAAGGAATAAGTGACTCAGGGCCGCCGAGAGAATTTGCGGGGCCCGGGGCTTTGCGGGGTCTGGGGTCCCATGACATCATTATTTTTAAGCTAGACCCAAGTCAGTCACCCAATAGACCTTAGCTAGACTGCATGCATGTGATCTACTGTAAGAGGCCCTCGATTTCAAAAATGCTCTGACCAATCTAAGGAACCTACTCAATTTTAGGCCCTCTCACTCTCAAGTGCGACCCTATTAAGGTAGGAGGGCCGGGGCAATTTGCCCCCATGACCCCCCCCCTCTCAGCGGCCCTGATATGTGTTTAGCTTAATGTGCTGCTTTACAATACACAGAATGTTTGAAGATTGTACGTTTGTACTATCTGATCAGTGGTTTGTACCCGTATTATAGGTAAAGAGTAAAGACAAACGAATTGTTTTTTTCACATTATGTGAATTAGCAGCTGAAAACGAAAGTGTGCTGCGTCAAAACATGTAGACATTCATGCACATTAAATGTGACCCCACAGCAAATAATATACAACATTATGATGAACACCTTCACAACTCCATCATAACCAGGAATAATATTGACACCAGCTTTCTTCGCAACTATTTTACTTTCAATCTTGTCACCCATAGCTTGCATGGAATACGAGTTTGGGCCAATGAAAACGACATTATTGTCTTCCTAAAAATAGAGCTTATGAAATACAGTAGTAAACAATATTTGGTACAGTATATGCATGCATGGTTTCGTACACAACTTGGAAACAACAACGAAACAGATTCCCAACGAGTTGCTTTTCCAAAAGGTGGAAAAAAAACATGGCAAAAATATGCAACAAGAAAATGTTCTCTATAAGACCAAGTATTTTTATACAAAGAAATTACATTGCACTTCTCTCAGCCAGACAGAATTTGGATTTTTTTCACGTATGTTATTGCATATTATTGTATTTTAACATGTATATATTATATTATGTACAGTACAGTTATATCTTTTTTTCTGGTTTTGTTGTTTCTTTTACACACATGGAGCAAGGCAACAATGTTAGAACTTCTTTAATATGTACTGGTGAAAAGTGTATAATACGCGACCCTTATACCATAACCATAAATAATAGACAATTATACCAATAGTTTCACGAAATGCATATTTTCTGATAAGAAGCCATAGCCTGGATGCACCTGAAAAATAACAAAGATTGCCATCGTATTTAATTTTGCGTGTTTCAAAATTATTATGGCACCACAGACAGCAAATACACTGTTCAACCTCGGTCCCAGGGTCTTTCTAAGAACGGCGCGATATACTGTTATCCTCAAACGAAATAGCTATAAATATATCCCTAACAATTAAACGTTTAAAAATGTGTTTAAATTTTTGTATCATTACGTACGCTGATTGTCTAGTCACATGCACACAGGAAGCTACAGTACATCATAAGTATGATCAATATACGATAATGCATTCGTCATCACGAATATACAACTAAATCGATGGATAGCAAAGTCAGAAGCACTTTAAACACACTAGTAAACTTTAACACACTTAAAGATATATTTTGCAACTTTTTAATTTAAGAATTACAGTACATTTGTTGGGCTGCATGCCTATATGATGCAATTATAAAAATAATCATTTTTTATCTGCACTGATTTCTCAAGCATCGCTATAACATGCACAGGAATGGCAAGATGGAAGCATTTCTTCAATAGGAATGGGTTAGGAGAATGAGAAGAGTGACCTTTACTGAGAAAACAAGATATAATTAGAAACGATGAAAGGGAATATAAATAGTCTAGGGCAAGTAAGTAATACGACTGAATGTCATGTCATGTCATGTCATGTGTAAATTCTCAGTTATTGAATCACCTCCATGTCTTACATCCAGCGGGTACATGCAGAAGCTTTCATCATCATGCATGTTCTTTCCTTGTATATAGAATGGTCTAGATATACTGAGTTTTAAAACTTAACAAATCAATAGAGCGTTTAACAATCCGTGAGCGTTTAACACAATCTTATTTATCATCAAATATAATTATCATCGAAGTTAGATTAGATTTTATAATTAATTACTATAGTGTACTGTATATAGATTTTAAAGTAGTTTGTAGCTAATATTGTAAAAGGGGACGGGGGGAGTTAATAAAGAGGAGTTAATATAGTAATGATGCATTATTATAAGGTATAGTAATTGCAATGGTCAAACTATTCAATCATATGCAGTGGTGCTGCTCTGTCCCATGCATGTAAGCAATCTCGAGGGGCATTATACTCCTACTTGCATTATGCAGGGTGTATTATTATTGCAAAGGACTAAAAGGTCAAAGAATGAGTGGATAAAGCAGAGGAAGGGATTAGGAAATGGAATTGAAAACTAATGACGTTATCCCACTGAGCTATACTATATTACTGGAGGACCTGCTCGGCATCATCAAGTGAAGCCGAAAACATGGCGGCTATTACGCCATTTCCATGACAACACTTACTTTATTTTCATGGTAACTGCCACTGACCAACCGCGATCCTAAACTTCCGACGATGTCCTTAACCCCCCTGGTTTTTGGGCCAAATATTACGATATAGATATCATAAAGTTTTCTCTCGAGTTTTCTGTTGTTTTTGAGCTAAAAAATCTTAATATTTCCCTCGAACATTACTTGTTTTACAACGCGGAGCGAGGCTGCGAGTTTGCTTCGCTTGTGTATGCAGCATTTCGCTACAAAGACTACAAAGAAAGACTAATTCATTCAGGTAAGATTCACGAAACTTTTTTATAACTTTCTAGACGGCTACAGTCACTAGACCCTTCATATTATGTCAAAAACTCATCATCCTAATATATACAGCGAATATTTCAATAGGGGACATAAAAGTATTGTTAACGATTAAACATTGTGTACATGAAATTGTTGTTTTGTGTCAGCACTGGCCTTTTTGGTTTTATTGCCAGACTGCCAGTTTTTAATTTATACTAAAAATTGTGGTTGTTTACATGTTCGTATATTTTAAAACGTTAATTATTAAATATGGTGTGAAATTTATATACTTGCCCATCACAGTGCAGAATTAGTATATATAGATAAGCACAAGACCAGAGAGAGTTGAGCCGTTATTGAGGAGGCCCACCTACATGTGACAATGTATGTGCCCTGTCGGCTGATCGATGAGCACTAAAGACTGTCTTTATTATTTTACTCTGTCTGTCTACAGACGATTTTAAGAGAATTGAGACTGCTCCCTGCTGCCACGCAGACTGACGCAGTGGGTTAATTACAGCTATCTGCAAATGAGCAGCCCGAGATATATAGTCAGCCCATTAAGCTGCAATGAACCCTGGCTACTTTCTTATTTTACTCAATCTTTGAGATTAAATCCAGATGTTTTACTCATAATTTTACTAAAAATAGATATCATTTTGCCATTGTCTGTTCAGAACTATATAAAACTATATAGTTTTACACAGTATGATGTCATAGTTACATGGCAAGAACAAAAATGTTGCCCACAAGCTGCCGGGATTTAAGTGAGTCACTGATACACTAATCATGAGGTAAATTTGGAATGCTACAACATTTCTAACAATTAGGGCGGATTTTCATTTATTTAAAAGGAGGGGTAGAAAAATTTCTGGTGGGGTGCAAGCGGCACCACTCAGTGAGCTTTGGCAGGGGTTAGGCGTTTGGGTTAATGCCTTTCGCACAAAATAGGAGGGTTGAAGCAGAATTTTTGGTGGAGTTGAACACTTTATTAGAGGAGTTTAACCCCCCCCCACCCCAAGTAAATCCGCCCATGATTTCTAACATTGGGAGTAGTGATGTCCAATTGGACATATATATATGACACGGCCTGTGAGAAATTATGATGAAATTTGCTCATAATAGTTAAGTGTGACATATTTTAGCAGTTAGGAATGTAATTGCATTGCTGAATATTGAAACATGACACTTAATTTTGAAGCTCAGATCAATGGTCATTGGTAAAAACAGATCATGTAATTGCATTCTCCCCTTGACTAGTAAAATTGTCTGGTGTTAGGTAGATTAAAATAATACAGTAAGGCATATCAAGACACATTGCCACTTGTGAAGGGTTAACATATGTGTATATGATATTTTTGTGATGTAAAGATGTATAATGTATCATGATAATAATGTCATCTTTTATTTTGCAGAAATTATATGTTTAATATACCCAAGAGATGGCACTGAGGCATCAACATGCAGAAAAACATGCAAAACAACAAAATGAATTAGTTAATTATAATACCATGCATAACAACATAAATAATTATATGATTATGATAACTTTATTGAAGTGTAAATAAGTTTTATAGCAATTAAAATCAAAATCATATACATTTTTGTTTTTTTAAATTTTTTACTGCCAATAATTTTTCAAAAAAGTCAAATATACCCTTCCGGCTTCCGGAATGTATTTCACCTTGTCACAGGAGCCTCATTTTCATGTATGTGGCATGAGTTAAAGTCCAATGTCTCAATCGTGAAAATGAGACTCGCCAAGGTGACATAATTTTTGGAAGCATGTATTAAAATACAGTATGTTCAGTTTCCAAAGATATGTCCAGCTTGCCAGGCTTGGTACTGTAACTTGCCACCCAGAAAGGAGTGTGTCATTGTGGAATAAATCTGCAACAAACAAGAGTAGATTAATTATGTAGGTTGTACAAAAATCCTCCAGTAACATAATTAGCATATGATCAAGGTAGAGTAAACAAAAGAATGTGACCAAACTCCTCAACTTAAACAAGGGGTATCAGAACTATGAGTGCACTTATAAAGGTACATTGCTCATTCAGAGTGATATTTACTGAGAAAACATATGTAAGAAAACAGGCCATCCTGGAAATGAGGTTTATGTCTGTTTATAAAACGAGACCTCAGGAGTCAACCTTTTAAACATTATTAATACACTAGACAGTTCGCACTTCAAAGACCCAGCTTGCGAAAATTAGTGAAATAGTGGGAAATTTTACACTTTACCATGTGTATTACACAGGAAGTTGTTTTATTAACAAATAGAGTGTCAGTTTCATCGTTATGCTTATCATTTTCATGTCAAATAAGGTAAAGTCTAAATATTAAAAAATTGAAATATGCAAATTTGTCTCTTACCCTTTGTATAAAATCCATATTCAAGTCTTTTCCCACATTTCTTGAGGTTTTAAATTTGTCTGTCGTCTTTCACGGGCGAGAATAACACGAACGACTTGCATATCTTTGTCCAAATAGTCAAAGGTAGAAAATTTATATCAAAAAAATTTTAAAAACCGATTCAAAACCACGAGAACTATAATATCTGCAAAACTTTTTTGCAAAAACCAGGGGGGTGTGAAAACGGCCGTGGGCTCAGAATTGAGCCTGGTCAGTGGTACCTACCATGAAAATAAAGTAAGTGTTGTCATGGAAATGGCGTCATTTTCACTCAAAATCCGCCATGTTTTTGGCTTCACTTCGATGACTGAACGAAGTATAGGAGCAGGTCCTCCAGTTATTATACAGCTCAGTGCGTTATCCCCGTTGACACGCGCCACCATACAGTGATCCGTCGTCTAATGAGAATACTTCATGTAGAAAGAATGTTTTGTAAATATATAGTTGGTCTTAAAAGGCGAGGGTTTGCTGCGTGCATGTATTTCTCGTGGAGAAATAAACGAAAAGCACAAGACAGAAGTCCACAGAGTAGGTGCATTGTAATTCTTTACAAATCTATAAGGAAAACATTGAAAACCTACGGAACAGCGAAAAATTTTAAAATCTGTTTTTAAATATATTTCTTACCGCTTGAGCTCCTGTAGTTTTAATAGCACCCAAGATGGCATCCATATTTAGATAGCTTTCTCCGGATGGTGGTGGACCAACACAAACACTTTCATCGGCCATTTTTGTATGAAGCTAAAATTTAGTGAACGAATACCGAGTTTGTAAGATATCATTGATCTTGATAGACAAGAGAAGACAATATAATTTAAAATGTTTAACGTTTAATGAATACAATGTTTAACATTCCCAACATTATATAAGAGGTCATGCACAATGGGGAATTACAATTAATGTAGGATTTTGTGAAAAGTTCATGCAAAAACAGGTATACATGCAGTTAAATGTTTGATGGATTGAAGTATTTTCTGAATTCTAAAATATGATATCAATTAGTGAATGCCTGTATTTCAATGAGAATCCAAATACACTTTGCAACACTGGTCATATATTGACTATACTTACAGCATATCGATCAGCTTCACTGAAAATTGCAACAGATTTAATACCAAGGCGTTTACAAGACTTTATCACCTATATATACAAATGCAATAAACCCATGGTGAAAATACATCACACGTGTGACGTTCTCGAAGAAATTGATATATGGAGAGTACACCTGAGTAGTATGTTTAAGTGCGGCCCTTAGATGACAGTACGTCACAACACAAGTTTGGCGTCATTGTTTGACTTGCACCATTTTGGGTGACACTAATGTTTACATCTAAGTAAAAGCATACAGTGTCCAAATAATCCGAACTTGCACGAGCTCCAAATGAATGATTGCTTTCATTAATAAGAATTCAGAAAGGTCATTTCTGGTGAATTCAGACGGTGGTTTCTTTTGTTGTCCATAGTCCCCAATCATTATTTTGCCACACAACATCGCGGATTTCTTAGCGTCACTTGATATTCCCGTATTAAGTGACGCTATAAGAAATCCGCGAAGACGAGTGGCAAAATAATGATTGAGAACTATGGACAGCAAAGAAAACCATGCACGGTCTGAATACGTCACCAGAAAATATTATATTAATTCATATTAATGAAATCAAACATGCATTTGGAGCTCGTGCAGGTTTGGATCATTTGGACACCGTGTATGCTTTTACTTAGATGTAAACATCTGTCACCCAAAATGGTGCAAGTCAAACGATGATGCTAAACTTGTGTGACGTCACTGAATACTACATGGCTGAATACTACAGATTTGATATAAACCCGCGGAAAGGAGGGCCGCTCGCAGTCTAATTTTGATAAAGCTTACCCTGCAAGCAATTTCACCACGGTTTGCAATGAGGATTTTGTCAAATAACTGAAAAATTGAGGAGAACTAGTTAATTACAAATACTATTAAAAACTTCTATTTACAAACTTGTAAAAGTCCTGTAAAATACTGTGTTCTTATTAGTTGTTATAGTTTAACGTGTTTATACTTCTACACCAGACCACCGATTAGGTATACGATATCTATAATCTTCGACCAGGGTCGACAACCTGAGCGTGAAAGGTTAACAAATGTTATGACTTTACTGCATCTTATTTAAAATCCCTCCCTACAAATAATAAGATACAGTAAATATATTATCGTGACAATCATATTGATACTTAACGCTTTAACTTTATACCTTGTCATTTGCGAGTGTCGGGAATGACGTATGAACATATCGGGCCTACAACAAATATACAATAAATTAACTCTCTCTAACAGGGCTTTTCGAAGCCAATTAACATATGCAAAAGTTATAAGCTATACTAACATGAAATTCTAAATAATTAATTATTATACTATGGATTAAAAATTGTCAAAGGCTGAATGCTACTACTGTATGTAATATGATTTTCTAAAAGATATTTACGTAATTTATGTTTAAAAATATTAACTCGTAAACTACATTTAATGTTCTATCATGGAAGTTCGTTCCATAAAGTTACTAAAGAGACAGCGCGGTGATGAAATGTCCGTTGACCAGTTGCATTCTCAGAAAAGAGGATGTTCAAACAACTTGAGTTCCTCGTACAACAGACACTAATCTCGCCTCTCCTCACAAATTGTTCAAATCAAGATTTAGACAGTTGAATGTCAAAAAAGCGTCACGTTATAGAGCAAGTGCAGTTAATTCATTCAACAAGTAATTATTTGAACAGCAAAATTGTGTACTCCTTGAAGTGTGCTGATGTTATTTGCAATAATACAATCTACGTATAGGATAGACAATGATCACGTGTGTTCAGTGGGATTATATAGACTTCCGAGAATTAGTTAGACGGCCACGAGGGCCACGAGGGCCGAAGGTCCGAGTGGCTGTCTAAATAATTCGAGTCTATCCGACTTAGACCATGATCACATCCACGAAGAATTATTTATTTCCTTATATTTTTAGGAAGTATTTTTTATTATATGTTTTTCATCGATTAATACTCGCAGTGCACGAGTTTATTGATCTGATCAGTATGCTCTATATCAGCGATTAGTATGTTATAGAGTATACTAATAAGGCTTTGTTTTGATTTGTTTATCTTTTGTTCAATGCTCATTATAGCATGCTCTATAAAGGTCGCTAGGAGACAGTACCGCCGAAATACTGAGTTCTGATTGGCTGAGTCGATGTGGTCATGATCTAATGAAAACTAAACTTATTATTACTAAGATAAGTATTTTTTTAATCTACTGAATAACATGTTTCGCACGGTTAATCTGCGCCAAGCTGGACATGCAATAGGAGACAGTCAAATTAATGGCATGAAAGTCGAAGGAAAGGCTTGGATCAAATGTAACTCCGAGATCTTTTGCTGATTGGACTGTAATAAGTTCCTTACCCCGTAACGACAGACGAAAGTCTGGGGCTTTCTAAATCATTTGGCGACTACCAAAAACCATAAGTTTTGTCTTGGATGCATTAAGAAGGAGGCGGTCGTCAAAACACCAGTCACGAATTCTGCACAGATCTTCGTTCATCTCTGTTATTGCGAAGGCACATTCTGGATAGGAAAAGTAAGTGTATGATAGTTTATTTTTTTATTTATCATCAACGTGCATCTTGGATAAACTGCTCTGAAGAATTGTTGGTTGTTCGTTAACATACTGTATATCCAAGAATACTGCCTTGTCTGACACGATCTGGAATCTTTCCGATAAATAGCTCGAAAACCAGTTAAGGGCAGCAGATGAAACGCTGACATCGTGTAATTTCAGAAGGATAATTTTGTGATCTACAGTATACTATCGAAAGCATTATTTATATCCCTAGCAGGACAACGGTTAACTCTTTTCCATCGATAGCGTTTAATATTGAATCCGCAGCCTCGATCAAGGATGTTTCTGTCATGTGAAATCCTCTATTGCCACTGTGCTGGGTAGATAGACATTGTTTTGTGCCTAAATAAGTAATCATTTGGTCATGCATCGTTTGCATAAAATTGGCAAAAGCGAGATGCGTCTGTTGTTGCTTGCTTGCTCGTCAGTCAGGGTTTTTTCAGGATTTTCTCTTGGGTCCGTTTTTGCAAAGAAGACTGAGTTTAGCTGAACAGCTCGGGGTGTGGGGCAGCTGCGGGAGTCTGACACCTGTAGTAGGCTGTACCCAATAAGTGTAGTTGAGACGCAATGTGTTAAAGCAGACATTAAAGATGGCGAATGCGTTTGTTTTTCATCTGTTGTGAAATGAATTCCAGCCATTTTTTCCTGATTGTCGGGTTTCCAACAGAAACAAATTTCCACACGTCACGAATTTTCAAACAACTTCATTTTTACTGCACTGGATCATTTGGTGAGAAGATTGAGTTTCAAAACTCAATTCAAGATTGAGTTTTTGGGGCCGTTTTACGGTCCTAAAAAATCCCTGAAAAAGATCCTGTCAGTCGTCATGGTCACGATTGATGGACATGATTACAGCCATTTTCCAATTGGGGGGGGGGGGGATTCTGGAAA